AAACTTCCCTCAGAAGTACCTATTTGATGGCTGAGTTCAGGAAAAATCCTACTTTTGAAATACGTCTCCTTAGCGTAGATTATAGGAGGGAAGTATTTCAAAATGTATTCTCCACCCTTACAAAAAGGGACGCAAGAAAAGATTTCAAGTTAGGGACACTAGAAATCATGGAAGTAATGATTTTGATAAATATCAAGACTTTCTTCCCCATAAGTCACGTATTTCACTGGGGACGTACCTTAAATAAGTATTTGCCATTTCCCAAGGAATAAATGAATTAATCACTATCCAAGGTAATGGAGCGCCGGCAAACAAACTCGCTATAATCGCGCCTTCGCTATATATCGCTTGTAATTCAAGATTCTGTAGAGTCCCAGAGGAAGCACGAGAGAGAAAGAAAAGAAGCAAAAAAGAAACCTCCCATCTTCCCCTGAGGACATCTTCATTGCAAGGCAGACTCTTCTGAAGAAGGCTTCCACACTCTCCGAGCTACACCTCGTATCGAAGCCAAGTTTTCGAAATATGCGAGGAAAGGATTCTCTGTTGCATGACTGACTTTCCCGACATCTACTCCACTTACGGGAACACTCTAGTAGCGTGGAAAATAGGAAAGATGTCCCTCTGTGAGTTCCCTACATGGCGGCGCCTGGTGCTGCTCTGGCATTCGCCGCTGATGGCAAGTCAGAAATGACCAGGAGCGACGAAGCCTGACGTCAGTGCCATCCCACGCATCTTTCTCTTCGTTTGTCCCCTTGAGAACTGACTTTGAAAGACCTCCTTCCGTCCATGCGTCATTAGGCCAAAGCAGCTTTAGAAAGCCAAATCACTAGTCGCTCCGAGTTCGTCTTTCGGAATGGCAGTTTAGACTTGTGCCGCAGATCTCCATGATAGTGGATTTCAACTCACCAATACGTTCTAAGTTTCGCAGGCCTGTGGCTTGGCTAGGCGCGAATGTCTGTGCCAAAGGGAAAAACCCACAAGGGAAACCGAAGGCCTATCCATTCCTTCCTCTTCACCATCGTCAGGCAGTGAGTGCAGACTTCTCTTTCTGTTACAAGTACTCTTCACGGAGTACATAGTTCGTGTATAAATATTTCGTCTAACTGAGCGTGTGAGTGTTTAAATTCCTTTTGAAGTTATACTTGCACAAATAGATTTCAAGGACATAAACATACAAGTTAAATTTTACAACTTGCCTTTGTTGATCATTTGTTTTGAGGTTAAGGATCCTTAACTTTATTTTCGGACTGTGCAAAATGCCAACGTGCTCTTACCTCCTTATATACACAAGTCGCTGCAATGCTGTATACCTTAAGGAACCATCCATGCCGATTGGGAAGAATTGAACGCTTGTGAACCAAAGCTAGTAATTAGTATTGCATTTACATTTCTCTCATTCGATTTAGGTTGCAATTTCAGGCAAAGCAGAATGTATCTGCATTTTCCAAAGAATTCTCATTATAATGTTTTTTCCATTTTAAATTCTGTCTGGGTATTATGCATCTGAAATACCAAAGACTTCAGGAGGTATTTCACGTTTTATGCACTTGAATGAATGTTTTAGAGAGTGCATGTTATATATTCTGAATTTCATTATTCATCCCTTGCCATCTTTTCACAGTGGGGTCACAGACGCTAACCTGAGAGACATCATCCAAGGTCACAAAGACGTGCCTCTGAACTCCGAAGGCTTCGGCCAGGCCGTACGCCTGGGGAAGTGCCTGGCGGGTGTCCACTTCACCCATTGGTATTCCAGTGATCTCCAAAGAGCATTTCAGACTTGCACAGCAGTTCTCAAGGAAAATAAACATCGAGTTCTACTCAGCAGCGTCATGAAGGATGACATTCTTCGAGAAAGGGTAAGTATTGGGCGTGGCACTTTCATGCACTCTCATGTCGTTGCTGTCATTTTGTGTGTCTAGCTTACAGTGAATCCTTCTCAACTCTTTACTTCTTGGGTTCAATCTTGGTTTTTTAAATTGAGTTTATCAAGAGAGAGACAGTGCAGCTTAACTTTTTTAGGAATGCTTGCAATGCAGGCAGTGTAAAGACAAATTATGCATGTAAACAGTGGATGAATTTTTGAGAGAGAATGGAAGAATAAATGGATATGGGAATTGTGCTGCCTTGATTTTAGGACTTGCCAAAATGCCAGTGGCTTCTCTCGATCTACTCGAGTAGGTTCACCATTATCACGTGAAAATTTGTAGTTCATTGCCTTTTGGTTTTTTTTTTATTACTTTTATTCATTATTTATGAAGATATATTTAATCTGATTAAAGAGAAAGTGATCCTTTAGTTTTGTTTTAAACTTCTTACAAAATGGTAAGAGAGGTGGGCATTGATTAGAGCAAAGTATAGGTTTCTTAATATTGATCTTGGGACAAGGTCTTTTATTTTTTAAAGTACTCCATTATTTTTACTTATCTTTTTTACACATTATTCACATCCAATTTCTAGTTCAAGTGATTATTAAGCATTTCACCTATATATTTGACAATCAATTTCCTGTAACATTTTGCTATTAATTTTTAGCTGAAAATTCATAGCTTCCGTTTTTTGGAGGCCTTGAAATATTATAAAAATAGATTTACATTTCATGACATTTAATGAAAGTTATACCCTCAGAATACATATATCATTGTAAGACCATTCCCTATCCTTTTCCCATACATGTGCCAAGCAAGGCCCTTGAACATTCTAGGGACTGTTTGACTTCAAGTTCTCATTTTTCAACAATAAATTTGTCATTTTTTTTCATTGCTGGAAAGGATAATTTGAACTTCAGTGTTTGGATTGATTGGAGATTATATACAGCTTCCCAGACTGGATTTGGATCATTCAGCATCCAGCCAATTAGGCCTGGGCCTCCAGTGAAGTCTGCTGAATTGTATTCTGTTCTGTAGTTCAGCCAATGTCAGAATATCTTGGAGAATTCCCACATCCCTTGCCAGGCCTCTGAGGGACTTGTGAGATTCCAGTGAATATATGTTGTATAGACATTGAGGTTTGTCTCCCCTTCGTTTACAGAACTTTGGGGAATTAGAGGGAAAGACATGGGAGGAAGTGAAGAACTTGGCTGCTGCCAGAAAGGAGGACATCACCAAGTTCACTCGGGAGCGTATCGAAAGTGTGCCCGCCATGAAGCAGAGAGCCAGTACTTTCATCAATGTGAGTTTTTTTCATTGTTTAATTGTGGCAAAGCCCTCGGGCAGTGGTCGGCAACCGGTCGCTCGACGGCCAGATCTGGCCTGCGAAGGCCCAGCTATTGCACGTTATGGTCCGACGGTCTCTGTTCGGCTGTACATTTGACATTAGACATTCACCAAAATAAACATTTTTAATGACATTTGATAGGTATTGGCCCACAGATATGCAGCATTCTGTCATCCAGTCCCTCGTGAAATTCAGTTGCCGACCACTGCCCTAGGGAGTGTTGACCTAGTGGCCTCAGAAAATCTGACAGGGTGCCACCTCAACCCCTTTGAGTTACTGTGTCTACTCTTGCAACTACTTTGTCACTTCTTTTGGACTTTCCTCCTGTATTGCCCTCTTCCTCATGTCCCGTTGCCTGTTAGTTCTGTTCATTAATGACACCAAACATTTCTCATGGTGAATTACAGCATTCCCTGGGAAGAACTTCTAATTGTTTATATTGAATCATCCTGTTATTGAAATATACAACACCAAGTATAGCAATACCTTTTTGTATCTTAATGTTGCAACAGTAGTATTTGCTTATTGCAAATATTTCTTATTTTTAAGTATCAATCCCCAAAAAATATATTAAATTTTTTTTGGTACAAGGATTACCTAAGCTGGCATTTCAGTTGCTCAGAAAGTGTGCCTTCCAGTTAAAAATCTTGAATACCTTTCTTCATTCTTTCTGCATTTCTTCATCTACATGCTGCAGAAAATCATGAACATGCAGAAGACTACATTGATATGTAGTGTCAATTACAAGTACATTAAAAATTATTGTAAAGTGGGGAATAAGCAATAAATGAGTGAATAAATCTATTTTTTATGGTTTCAGGTGCTCCCTTGCCAACTTCAAAGCCAATGTAGCTCAAAACTTACTAAAAAAATTAGGAAAAACACCTAAAAAAAATGTTTTTCCTAAGCGACTGAGGTCAGCTGCAGATGGATAATTCAATTTAGTGTAAACTATGGTCAAGGTTGCAATTACCAAGAATGTTCACACAGTTTTCCTTTCATCAAGTAACACTTGTTGCAGTCACTTTTGAGCACTAATGCATGGACATTGTAGTTAGATGGGAAATGACAAACATGTTAACTTCTCACCTCATAATTTTCTGTTTCTCTTCCTCTGTCTCTCTGTACTCAGGAAGTCAACAATATTCTGATGTCATATAGTGTCAAAATAATATTAAAAATGCAGCCATATGCAAACATGAGCCACGTTTGCTGGCCTCTTCCTCTGATGTACTAAGAACTCTGCATGACATTCCTCAACTCAAAAACATCTATTGAATCAGCAAGTCTGATGCCTAATATGAGATGAATGTCTGAAAAGCCAAAATGGTGCTTTGGCCTAAGCAGTATGACCTATCCACTTTTCCAAATGAGAAACACTAACCCAAACTACAAAATAGTCCTTCATTGTGCCTATTAATGGAAGATGGTACATTTCAGTGTTAATTTCACAGTGGATGTGGGGATGGGAGAAGCAAAGGAAAGGCCACAACAGGGAAGCTTACTTTGCTTATGGCAACAAGTTTTCAGATTACTATATGACAGGTGTCCATTTTCTTTTCATGCGACAGGGAGTACTGCAGATGATGAACAAGCACCTGAACCAGATGCACGGTTCTCACAAGCCGAGTCGAGACGGTCCTCTGCCTCCCGAACTGCATGTGATAGTCTTCTCCCATGGAGGGATGATCCGAGAAATGGTTTCCCATATTCAGGATGATCTTCATTGCACCAACATCCCCCACATCGGGAAGATGGGACGAGGCAGCTGCCCCAACACGGGCGTGACACAGTTCCGATTCGATCTGGTTGCCAACGTGCCTGCTCCCACCATTGATGGCATCAACTGCATTCTCTTCTTTGACATCTCACATCTAAAGGAACCAGAGCTGAGACCAGGGACAAAACGGGGGAGTCGAGACGGTCGCGAGACGACGCCAGAATCTTCTGCCCATCCCCTGGTACGGCACATCGCATCCGGTGGGAGCCCTCGTTCGAGTCAGGAAAGGGAGAGCGCTCGTCCTAATCCCATCGAAGAGACCATCGAGGCCATTCGGTGATGCAGTCATTCATTCATTCTGTGTCTTTCATGCTTACCCTTCACCCTAGTCTGTGTTCACAGAGGCAGTCCCATTTTCAATTAAACATTATGTCTTGGGATTGTTTTGAAAAATTCTTAATGGTGCTTCATTCTGAAGTCTAAGATCATTCACATTTGCACATTTCTCTCATTTTAGTGCACTCCAGTGTAAACAATGGAGCAACCATGCCTTGGCCCCACTTTGTCCCATTTATTTTGTGGCAATTGGGAATAGGAACATAGTACTGTGCACTCTGAAGTTGAGGCTTGCACTTACTTCACTATACGAGATTTAGAGCCTAAAATTCAGGGTACCATTTTGCTTAAACCCTGTGAAGTGCTAACACCTCCATTGTGCCAGGTTAAATCCTCCTTGCCTGCAAGCGTGAAATACCAGTTGCACTTGAATGTCAAGTTCCTTGAACTATAAGAGGGCATGTGAATGGCATTTTTGCCTTGGTGGTTTCATTTCTGTGAATTTATGGGCTCTGTGATAGACTGACAGGCCTCATAGCCTTGTTTTAGTCAATTTCCTTGAGGAAAGAATGCATTACAACTCACAAGAACACTTTTTTTTTCTCAGTTATTTCCAATGCAGGTCTAGCCTGAGCTGGGCAATCCCTATTGGATCTGTTTTTTCTTCCACTTGAAGTTCTCAGTATTTATTATGGGTATCAATAGTCTGCTCCAATGGAAACATTTTCAAGGACACAACCATTGGTAGACCTGCCAAATTCCAAAAATGAATGACCTAACCTAATGCTGTGAAGTTTAACTTCTAAAGAAAAAATGTCTGTCTCAGAAGTCTATTCCGTGAAATTTCTTTGTGGAACCATTTACGTTAGATGTCACGGTGAAATACCCAAAAATTTAACAACCTCCTATATCCCCATCTTGAAGAACTCCAAGTCATTGATGACAGAATTAGAATACCAAAGATTGCATTCCTACTCTTTTGCCAGTAACTATTTGTTAGTGCCCTTCTGTCCTTCCATTATTTTCTCAAAAAATATAGGCCAGCAAGAAGTGGGAAAAATCTTTAAGGGTTTTCACTTTGAGACTTTGGATAAAGTGACTGAGGAGGGGGGGAATGCCTGTGTAAGGCAGGTGCCTTGCCAAATGATGTTTAGTTTTCAAATCCCAATGCCCTGTCAGAGCAAATTTTGGCCAAAGAATGCACACTCACCATGTAACTTGTATGTCCACCCATCCACTATACCTCTCTACCATTAGGGTAAATCATGGATACAAGGGATTGAAGCATATATGAACTTCATCACCTCGTCTGGTAATTATAGGAGATGCTAAGATCTCATAACTTCATGTCATCTCACCTTTTAGGTCTAGAAAGTTCTTCACAAAATGGAAAAGGGCACAAGGAAGAAATTTGCTGAAGGCAGCATTTCTTGATATGCAAATGCAGGGTCCATTCATTTTTTGCTTTTATGGAATGTGAAAGTCCTTAAGAGTCATGAGTGGGTGTCCCTCTCTTGATAACCACACAGCTTATTTTGTGGCTGCCAGAAAAAAAGTGAAAGCCAAATGCTGGTAACTTGATCAGAGTGCTGACCAAACCGCTCATCATGCCATTGTGTCAAAATTTGGATCCTTCATTAGTAGTGTTGTATTTTCATGCTCCTTTCCCATAATTGCATTTTCAGATTCATATGCAGGTATCCCATTGGCAACAGTTTTGGCTCTTTCTATGGATTATTGTGGATTGTTCTTGCTTGCTCATTTTCATGGTTTTATGCATTCACCCTTGAGGCTTTTCCTCTTTCTTTGGTTTGTTATTTTGCTAGTATTAGTGAAATTGAACTGCAGTGTTTCTTAGCTGTATACTGCCTAGTAGGTGGAATCTTGACTTTTTACCAGTCCATTATGAGAACATTGCTTGGCATATAACAAAAGCAGATAACTCCACCTACAATTCACTATACAGGAAAAACAAAACTGCAGCTAAAGGCATGTATTTATAGTGGCCAAATGTGAGGTCTTCCTCAAAATGGAGAATGTCTTGCATTTGCCCAATTCTGTGATGTTCAGAGCAGAGGTTATTTGCTTATTAGTAGTATTATGAAGTTTGGATGGAAAGTGGTTACTGAGCCTGTGATCTTCATGAGTCTCAGCTTGGATGAAAATGCATATCGAACCTGCTTTGATTGAATGGAAAATGAGTTTTTCTGACTTAGATCATTTGCTGAAGACATGCTGTTTCTGCCACATACATCCATCTTAGCTCAGGGAATATAGAGCATTGCAGACTGAAGTCCACAAGTGGAGAGAAGTTTTAAATAAAAAAAAACAGGGCAGTGGGTTTAAATTGCAGTCTCCTCTTTCACACATGTACAGTCAATCCTTGATATAACACCATTGTTAATACATGCTGATTTTGGGGCTGTATCAAATGAACCACAGCAGACTGCCTAAATCTCTGAGGGACAAAGACTAACTGGACAGGATTTCTTATACTGCCATCCCTTGTCCCTGCCAATACTCTATAATCTTGTTCTATGTACTATCCAATCCATGGTTATGAATCACCTCTTGCAATGGTAATATATTTAGCTATGTTTAAAACAAGATAGGAGTTGTAGCACACATGTTATTTGTTGCAAAATCAAGGAGGATGTACATGGGAAAAAGCATCTTCATACATGATGGTGGCTTGCAAGGGTGGTGCTATAATGGGGGATCACTTATGGGAAGATTTGTTGGCAAGAAGTGAGGGTGGCACTATATCAAGAGTTGACTGTATATTTTTGCACAATAGCAAAGGGTGATACTTATGGACTATTGCAGCATTAAAAAAAAAAAACACTATCCAAGGCCAGGTGGGAGAATGTGTGAAAAAAGCCCAATTTAAACTTCAAAATTTCACCAAAGACCAAAACTGTGACTATGAAAGTATCATTAGATAAATCAGCTGAATATATTGCAAGAATACACCTTAGAATCACATTTTCAAGCTAAAATGCAGCTATGACTTCATTACTAACACAGCTCAACATGGATCTTGAAGGTTGGTGATCCCTGTTATGATCTCTTTCCCTGTATTTTTTTTATTTATTAAGAAAACTACTTATTTCAAGTCTTGTCTGTTGTGTTTTCATGAAAGGAAGCTCAGAATTTCCAATTCAGGTTCACTTGTTTTGCAAGTATTATTTTATGGGAGAAATAATATCAGTACAGAATTACTCAAGACCGGACTCTGAATACCAAATAATAGCAAAAGTTCTACACCATCACATCTCTACACTCAAAACTAATAGAAACATGGCAAGACATGAAAAATTAAAGCCACAAAACCTGAGGACCATTATTTCACAGTCTTTGTTCTCAAATGACACAAAAGATACAGCATGGTACAAAGGGATCAAGGATGATGGGATCCCAGTCGACACGGACACCGACACGCTGACTTACAGATGTGGGTTTCATGGGATGTCTGAGAGGATTTCAGGAACCCGTTCATGATGGGAGGAGACAAGATCCTCATCTGTTGCTTCCAGCGCTGTCAGGCCCTCCAAACTGAGATAAGTGCTGCTGCCATTCTCGACCATCAGAGGTGTAAATGCCCAACTGGCTTCTCCTAATAGAAACATTTCCAATGCTAAGTGCATAACAGACACATGACAAGAGTCCTTTCTGGCAATTATCAAGGAGGGTGGATCCACTGGATCAAATTGCCAACTACACAAGATAATCATGAACACTTCCTGAATCTTGGGAGATATATTACAACATATTCAGCAATATATTGTAAGAGAGTCTGTAACTTCCTTAGGATAAAAAATTTTCATTCTGATTTCCCTAATGAAGCAGACTGCTTACTCATTGTTTCATTTATAAAAGGAAGATTACAAACATTAGCAGTCCATTGTCACATGAGACAAATGCAGTGTCCTATGAGTTTCACACAACTGTGAAAGACATGTTGCTATGCTTCTTGGTAATGCTTGAACTGCCAGCTCATACAATTTTAGCAATTATGCAAATAATGAAGCCTACACTGTGGACACCTGACACTAAATTGGCCCCTCTAAACTTCAAAATATTTTCCTTCTTGTAGCCAACACTGTAAAAATCACAACTTGTCTTAAAATGTGTGGTTGCATTAGGGGAAACAGGCTATTTGTTCACAGGGAAGGTAAAAAAATATAAAATCATTAAAACAATACTTGCATCGTCAAAAGAGTTTATGCCTATTAACACAATTACAATGAAACAAAAATACAAGTAGGAGGTACTGATGAAACCCTGACTGGACAAAAACCTCATGGTATAGGACAATGATAGGCAAAGGCAAAATTGCACACAGAGCAAATTTTAGTCAAGGTCTGACAAGATTAAGGCTGAATTGAACTTGTTTAGCAAAGTCAGGGAGTAATCACAATGTGCTCATTAGACATGAAAGTTATTTGAAAAATGGGCGAAATTATGTTGAAGCCTATGGAACCTAGAAAGTTCCTGAATCAGACAAACAGCCTCCTTGTTAAGTATACTTAATTCTCCAACTCAAAAAGACTATTGAAAGACAGTAAAACTTGCTTTTTCTTCCCTTTTACTGCGGCAACTCAGTCACATTCATCGCATAAAATAATAAAAGCAATGCAGAGCTGTAGGAGGTGACAGCATGCATTCTGAATACCAACACTACACAAGACCCATTTTCCCATGCTTAGTCTACCACATGCAGAGAGAGGTCTTTTGTTGAGATGCTGATGAAGGCAAGATACTTCATCCCAAAGTGAGAGAAGCAGTAGTTCTATTCTCTTAATCAGCAAACCAAAAAGAATCCTGCCAATTTTGTCTTCCTTCATCCCAGCACCCAACTTGTGAAACATAGATGAAAAAACAACCATGCACAGCAGCCCAACCACATGAGGACTCTTGGAGAACTTCTTCAACTGACCTTGATTGAGGAAGAACGACTTGCGTTCGTCATGGTCAGTGTCCATTCCAGACTCCTCTAGGTCGTCAGTACCAGAATATTTGGAAGGTGGGCTCGGAGGGACATGGACCTGGATGTTCTCCATCGGTGGGATGTGTGGCCGCACCTTCTTTCCGCCCGTGCGGTATGGATTCCGGCATCCACGACACTTACACTCCATGCATGCCTTGTGCTAAAAGTATAACAAAAGAGCTCAATGCCCAACAAGTTGAACATGAAACACAAGACTAAAATTTTGGGGGCTGGAATGCCTTCACTTTACAACAGAAAGTGAAACAATATACTTATAAGAAACCTAGAAGTATTGTTACAGAGCCATGCTTTAATAAAGAAGGCCTCAGTACTTTAAGTCCTTAGAAAAGTAAAGGCATGGACAAGCATTAAATAAGTGGTCTTGGATAAAGGAAGAAGTGCAGTCTTGCCCCTCTTAGCTTTGATGTCTCCATATGGAAATGAGTTTCAGGAAAGTTATACACATTAAGACACATTACTTCCTAAGGCCAGCAGTGAAAGGTTCTTTGGGTTCTGTACATAACCAAAATCAGTCACTTCAAAGGGGATGAATCTACAGGACACTTACACAATTTATCAAACCATCTGAAGCCTTACTTCCTGACCTCCAAACTGACAATTTCCAGAATGCTTATTAACAGCATGAGGCTATAAATTCCTCCATAACAGTGAATGCCTCTCCTCTTAATAATATAAATATATGTTTTATCACTCTTGCATGCAAACCTGGTAAAGACATCTTCACATGAAGGTGTTAAGACATCAAAGACACTTTTTCTGACAATGTTTAACTTCCCTGGTGTAAGTAGGTCCAATATAATCCCAAGATTTTATATTTTTTGCAATACGCACCAACAGGATGGGAGCATTTCTCATCATTGCAAAAAAAGTTCTATAAGTGAAATGAAAACTAATCCAGCACATAAAGGTAGCTAAAGATCAGGGAACATCTCTAAAACATTTGTGGGTCATGATCACAGAAAGGAATCCATGAAATCCAGCTCATTCAACTCTTCATTGGTGCAAATGTGGTCCCAGTTTGAAACGTGCAGGCATGGAAGGATTCCTTCATGCTGTGTCCTGATGCAGGTCAGAATGAAACCTCAGGTTTCATCTTGTCATTCTCTCCATAGCCATAACTTGTACATCAAACTAAGTAATATGGGCCTTTGAATTAATCCAAGTTTGGCCAGAAGGAAAATTTAGTTCAAGTTGATGCACCATGTCAGTATTGAGGAACACAAAGCAATTGGAGACCCCACAGCTGATAGTTCCCCTCATTTGGAACCAGAATGATGTCAAAATCTTGACACGGGTTACAAGCAAAAGTGGATCATCAGGAAGCCTTTTGCCATTTTCATACATTTTCATGACAAAAACACAATAGTGCTTCTGTCTCCTTACCCAAGATTGTGGGTGGATGGAAGCTGCTTGAAAGGGCAAAGGGGTGGGAGGGGGGGGGGGGGGAGAATGCATATCTGGTCAGCAAAGAGAAGGACAACATTTCACCTCAACATAGCAGGGACATCTCTGGCCACAGCAAGTGAGCTTTCCGGGGAATGTGGTGGCATTCCCACAGCGGCATCCTTTTCGCTTCGGTCGGGGCTTTGATTTCTTCTCCTTCTTGGAAGGGGACTCGGGATCGTTCGATTCAGATCCCGAACTGCTGTCTCCTTGGTGGAAAGGATGATTCCACATACAAGATATCGCAGGAAAAAAAAACTGTTAACCTAAATACCTCTGCTTACAATGGAGCTATTTTTGCCATCCATACAAGTGCATGTCTTCTATCGATTCTCAAATTTTTAGCCATATTTACTTGGCTGAACCAATACCATCAGCAATTACTGAAGAGTAGTTAGACATTGAGAATGGACAAGAGCTTTTGCTGAGAGTGGAATGGAGGAAACACTCTTCTATTTAAATGCATACTTTTGGAAGGTCGTCTCTTGCAAATTGTTTTAAGGTTATTCCTAATTAATTATTTGGTGCAGATCCAGAAATGTTTGTCAAAGTTCATTAAGAATTTCCCTTGGCTTACATCAGCCTGAATCTGAAGGGTATGACAAAAAAAAAACCCAAAAACGTCAAGTGTACCTAATGATTGTTGAATGATGTCACACCTCATCAAATTTTCCATAGTAGCATGTCTCCATCTACTTGAAGGTCAATAAGGTACCAAAATCCATCAATTCAAATAAAAGTAATGAACAGTATTCCAAAAGAAGTCAGACATTTAAAATGGAAGTTCCATAAAAAAAACTCAAGGGAAATTCTTTGAATTGATACTCATTGATTCATCTGCTATTCATTGGGAATAATTTCATGAAAAATATTTTGCAAGAGATGACAAGCCCAAAGAATGAATTTAAATGGAAGAGTTTGAAGTGATCTTGATGACCAGGCAGGACAATGCTCAAGTGTTTCCTCCACTCTACTACAAACAGGAGCTTTCTAATTTTTTCAAATAATTGCTGATAGCACTGCTTTGACTCAACAAATACTGCTAAAAATGTGAGAATGTGTTGGAAATATACTCTTATAGCCATGGTGAAAGTCTTGCAAAAATAGCTGCATTGTGAGCAGAGATACTTAGGTTATGCGTAGTTGGTCATTTTTCTTTGCCCTGTACAGTTCTGTTGCCCTAGCAGCTAGTTATGCTTGGTTAACCTATCTAGTAGGCCTACAGTAAGAACATGTCAGAATGGCAGTAGGCAGATGATGCCTAGCATCAATTATGGCCTGCCCCTGCAACGAAGAGCCTATTTTTCATGCTTAAATTAAATTCCCAAGTCAATAATGAGGCATACCCAAAATCTTCATATGTTCCAAATTTATAACAGGTAGATCTTTGATCACAGTGAAAGAGGCATTTATGCCTATGCTCTCAATGTGGCAGCTTGCTTGAGTTTATAGCATCCCTGTGATTTCCGAGGAAATTCATCAAGGTTGGAGTATCTTCTCAAGGTCCCTTACAAGGTCCCTTCTTCCAGTTGATTGTTTCATGAAAAAAATTCCAAACTTCCATGGAAACCAGTCACCTCTTCCAGAATGGTCCAGTACCTCCCCCTGAAGAAAAGCCAAACTGCTTGGGTTTTATGTGTTCTGTGCAAAGGCATACCTTGGCATCCCGTGGACAGAAGCTGGGGAATCAACGTGTGTCTGCGAACAGGTGTGGCTCGGTTGGATTGACAGGCCTGATGGGATGTCACTGCCTTGGCCCGGATGGTAGGAGCAGGGAATGCGAGGCCAACCTGATTCACCCTGTCCTGGACATGAGTCGATGTGACCCAGTTGGTGGAGCTCGGGATGCCCAGCACGACCGTCGTCGTCTGGGGCTCCGTCTTCGTCCGCACGCTGATGGGACAGAATGTCACCGATGACGCCGGGCTCAAGCTGACCGTTGATGATGTCATGCTGGAGATCTTAATCGGTCTGGACGTGCCCTGTGCCATGTGCATGGGGCCTAGCGACACATGTGAAGGAGATTTCAGGAGGATTGATGAAGACTGACACATCGGCTTCCCATAAACCTGCTTTGATTTGGGCTCTTCAGACTTCGGAACAGAGTTCAGAGGAAGTCCCTTTGTGCTGCGGATTTCTCCCAGGTCGTTCGGTTTCGTCTCGACTCCGACACTGCAGGCATTAGGTCTTATCACCTCTGAACTGTACGAGCTCAAGAGCCCAATGGGCCTGGCTGAATTCAGCAAGGAGTGAGTTGTACTTGGCAAGGTCTCCCAAATGGCCTTATGCTCATCTCTGGACTCCTCTTTCGAGGCAACAGGAAGATCTGGTTCCCTCTGAACCATTTTTGTGTCTGCTGCACTTTCGAGACGAGAAGTTCCGTCCGATCTGCCGGGCCGAACTGGAATTTCTTTCATTCCATCATCGGGTGGGGCCTGCAACGACCGGAGCCTTGGACTCGTCCTGGAAGGCCGCCGCAACCTCGCACAGGTAGTCTGATATGTGTGGTTCACGGAACCCTCCACATCAACAGTGATGCTGCTCTGTCGCGTACGTCCGTGGGGCTGATTGTGGGTTTCGTCTTGGCCTCCTCGTCCTGCAGCCTGAGTCTTCGGTCCTGCTGTGGACCCCGCATGGGTGTTGGAGAGCCTGGGTCTGTTGTAAACCCTGGCTCTCCCCGCATTCTTGGCTCCCAGCCGTGATCTATGGGCACCTGCATCCGAACCGAGGCCTACCGCCTCTTGAACTATATCACAAACAACTTTGGCTCCAACGTTCTGGGAACTCGAACACAGTTCATCATACAATGGGGTGGTTTTGAGATACACACAAAACTTGCGAAAACACTGAATCAGCGACCCCAGAGCCACATTTTCCACGTACTTGCTGTAGTCCCTACACCAACTACACGACGGTCTGAGAGACTTCTTCCCTCCCCGGCAGCCCCGGCAGACGTGATGCTGGCACGCGGTGTCCGTCGGCGTGAGCGGGTCGGCGAGGATCCCCCCGCACACCGTGCATGAGACCGACTCCCTCAAGCAGGGCAGGAGCTCGCACAGCTCCCGCACGTGGGGCCTGCCCTCGTCCGGATCCTCGAGGACGAGCCGACAGGTCTTCACGAAGAAGGTCGTCGCGTTCACGATCTCCATCGGTGGGATGCGAGACTCGACACCCGAACGGCCCAGGCGTTAGGCCTTGCTTAGGCCTTCTTCTGCTCCAGGCCTCGGCTTGGATCGACGACATCCGACGGCCGCGACATCTACGGGAGAGCGGCACGACTCTTACGTCTTCCTTCCTTCACTTAGATAACACTCGAGTGTTTATTTCGCTCCTCGCCCTGCTTCCTATCCCGGAATTCCAGGAATCACATCGCCAAGGAGAGGGAGAAAAAAAGATATCACTTTACTTGCGGCTGATTGCTTCATCAAACTCGCAAATGAATCCCAAGGACGATAATGCAGGCCTAGAAAATTCCAGGGAAGTAAGGAGCGAGATTCTAAACCCACCCGCTCCTCCCTTCCACTCCCTTTCTCCCTGAAGAAGTTTCTTTCTCTCAGCCTTGCCACGCGGCTAAGGCGGATTTGCTCGGATTAGAGCTCCTCCAAACGCTTCTTTCTAATCAAAACCTGCCTGATAAGGCGAGGAGTGAATGGCATTAAAATTTGGCTCTTCAAAAGGTAAAGTATTCTCGATCGTGCAAATTTGCTCGAATTCTAAGAAATCCTTCTCGCGAGTTCGCAATTAGACCTTTCATGCATTATTTTTTCTTTATCGGCGAAAAAAAAATCTGCTTGCTTTTATTTATATCCTGGAACACGGGAAAAAGTGGGGAGGGGGATATGTATTCCTCATTTGAAAGAAGGAGGCCTGAAAAAGTTATTATTGCTCATTTGCTACATCTGCAACATATTAAAACTTTGGAATCCACGCGGCGTGGAAGCGAGAGGGCTCAAAATTCCTTACATACTTCAACGCAAAAGAAAATGTATAAAAATACGGATGAACCCTGGATTACCGTAAGGTTGAAAATGATTGCGCCAACATCGTCTACTAGGTACTAGGTACTAGGTACTAGGTGCAAGGACTGCTTCGAACCGACTTACGAACGCATTCTAATAAATAAAAATGTTGAATTTAGCGTATCTGCTACATCACGCATCAAATGATTCATTCGTTTTTCCTTCAATCGTGAGTAAATTCAGTATACTGTATAGGATTATTTTATTTTACTCGATAGAATTGTATGAAATAACTTTTTTAGAAATTCCATGGAGATTCTATAGAAACCCTATCAGGAATCTTATGAAATTTCTATGGAATTCCACGAGGACGCTTTAAAGAAATTCTATCGAATTGAAACTCTTCGGAAATGAGCTCAATGAAGTTTCCCAAAGGAAAAAATAATTAAATGTAAACTTCTTTTTTTTTTCCTTCGACCGAAAAGAAAGAGTACCGAGGATCTTCTGATCCGTCTTTTCAGGGTATCAGGGTATCAGAGTATCAGAGTAGCAGGGTATCAGAGTATCAGGAACGTAGATGATGAAAGGGCATCGGATCGGGTTTCACTGCCTCAATTAAGAAAGTCGCTCGGCTCTCCAAATTCACTTAGTCAATTTGTATCCATGTAGTTTCCATACACGGAAATAAAAAAAAAAGTATTATACTTAGGATATTTTCTAGGCGAACCAGATGCGATTTTTTTTCCAGCGACCTACCACTATAACCAGTGCGACTCACCAGATGACAACACTAACATGAACGCACCCTTCGCAGTTCATGCACTCGTTATCATTACGACGAATTGCTCACTACGAAGATGGCCCTGTATTATTTTCATCATCAATCCAAGTGCAATTGCCCCCCTTGCCCCTTTTGCCCCCCCCCCCCCTCTTCCCCCCCGACGCTACGTCGCTGTTCCAGACTGACTTATCGAAACGTGAGATCCCAGACCATTAATCATGTCTGGGCCCTTTTTTTTTACCAGCCGGGAATGCCGGTACTGCGACACTGCTCCCGTAAGATCCATCCGCCGAGCGCCCAGCGAAGGACGCAGTGTTGCCAATCGGTCCAGTCACCGCGGAGCGGCGAATCGGATGCATCGACGCCGAACCCAGGAATGGCCAAATTTCAAAAAAAGTATGTCAACATGGAAAATTGGAAACAAAATGCTGCTTTACGGAAGAAATGAAAAATTTGACCCCCCCCCCCCCCCCCCCCCCCCCCCCCCCCCCCCCCCCCCCCCNGGAAAAAATAAAAAATTTGCCCCCCCCCCCCCCCCCGTCGTTTTAAGTCGTCGTCATGTCTGGACTGCAATTTCTGAGACACCTGTTTCAAAAGTGTGCAGGAAGTTCTCCGGGAATTCCGTTTTTTTTTTTCCCCTTCCCTTAAAGTGAACAGGCTTACTCTTCTAACCCCGATCGAGAGCATTACGCATTCCCTTTGGGAACTCAGTGAACCTCATATATTTCAATTTTGAGCCTTTCAGCTTCTTCCCCGAGATTTCACCTTGTTTTTTCGTTTTGTTTTGTTTGTTTTTTTTCTCTCTTCACCCCTTCCAGTTCTCATCCCATTTAGTTTAAACAATCTTTTTTATTATTATCTATTCCCTTCTTCATCATTAATTGGAAATTTGGAATGTATATTTTAGGAGCAGAATAGATTTGTAAATGTATTTAATGATCTATTCATCAAATATTTCTATTACCCAAAAGAAGGAGGAGCTTCTTCTCCAGTAACGTGGATTTCAACCACTCCCACTTCCTCGGTAGAAATGAATTGAAGAAGGCAAGGCGACAATGAGGAATTCATGGGCTATTCTGGTCTCATTTCGCTCCATTTATTTCCATCCACGTTGATTTCCCTCTCCCGGACTTGTTCCAGGTTATTTTGCCTATCTGGTTGTACGCCTTAGAGCAGTTGTAATTCCCTCCCTTCGATGCGCGCATTGCGGTGTGCGCATTGCGTCGGTCTCGAAGATGCGAGCGGGCTGTGCCAGAGCCTTCCACGGTGACGTTGCGCGAGTCCAATGTCACGCACGGAACCCCGAGGGGGGGGGGGGGGGGGGGGGGGGGGGGGGGGGGGGGGGAACAACNCAGAGCTGTAGAATGGGGGGGGGGGGGGTGGGGGAAGGGGGAGAGGAGATGTCTCGATGGATGACGGTTCAGTCGGCCTTCGAGAGCGAGAGCGGGTGCTTGTCTCTCGCGAGGACGCTGTGGGCTCGGTACACTGTCGCCGGTGTGAATCGCTTCGTTGGTTCTCTCGTCGGTGTACGAGGCGAATGCGAATCGAGTTCATCGGCGATCGACGTCGATCCGTTCCGATTGTTATGCGCAGCCTTCGGTGAAATTTGGCTTCCCGACCGGCACGAGCGAGGTGCAAAGGGGCATCGGCCGCTGGACCTCACTCGGCACGCTGACCTGGTCGCCGAAGAACGAGTTTGCGCCGAATGTGTGACGGTTCGGATCGGATCAGACGCGAAGGGAAGACCCACTAAATACGCTTTTCGAGGCCGAGGGGATCCCTTGGTAATCGGGGAAACCGGACAAATCCGGGGATTCGGAATCCTCGCCCTCGCAACAATTTTCCTCAATTTCTACGCGTTTGCCGCAAATGAAGGCGGTTACGTTCTTGGATGGAACGACCCGGTGGAGTTCGTGACGAGCGGCACGAAAGAACATAAACAACAGATGATGTCACGAGGAAGGGGGAGAGAGAGCCTGGAAGGTGCTAGGGCCAACGTGACTGCATGACGTCACGGCCCACCGACCAATCCGCGTCCGATCCCGGAGATCTATCCAGGCGCCTCTGTCACGTTTTCCGCAGTGTGCTCCCTTCATTCGAGTGTGTGGGTTCGTCAACTCTGTTCCATGAACGAAGGCTGGGTGATGACGAATCGCCAGGCCAGTGACACCGCCACGTCGTCCGTTCGGCACCGAAGCGCCAAACATTCCTCCAGGCCCAAGCACTCCGTTCACTGGTTCCGACGAGGACTCCGACTGCACGATAACCCGAGCCTGAGGGCCGGACTCGAGAATTGCATCACGTGGAGATGCATCTTCATCCTCGACCCCTGGTTCGCCGGATCCTCCAATCTGGGGCTCAACAAGTGGAGGTTCGTCCAGGCTCAAGTTGCATTGAGGCTAGGCTAGGGCTACAGTGGCTTACACTTGGTCCAGCCCTGTCCCAATTCCTTGGACAATGCAAGAGACTGAGTCTAATGTAGCACCCAGGCCTAGGCTTTTGCCTTCATTAATGATTAATTAGTTAATTATGCTTTTGCTCACATTAATGATTTAAGTATGGCTTATGCAGCATAATGCATTCATAAATTCTATAAAATTAATTAAATGATGTAAAAAGCCTGAGATAGCACTGGGATAGGAGAAACAATTGAGGTACTTAGGACTAGAATGCTGCCTATGGAAAGGAGGTGCTGTGCTGTTGTGATCTGCTCTCATGTTTTCAAGTATAACTTAGGAGAAAAAAGGGCACATCAAAATGGAATGTTTATTGATGAGTTAAAGGAGACTGGAAGACAAATGGTTTCTTTCCTCAGGGTTATTGGAAAGAGAATGGAAAGAAGCCAAATAAAGTGAAGTGGAATGTAAAAGCAAAGAAAATTAAGTGGGAAATATTAACAAATGGAAGCAAGTAATTAAAAAATATAATAAATTTAAATTAAAAAGTAAATGAAATATTTTTAAATTTAAACATTTTTAAATGAAATATAAAATATGAAGTAAAGTAAATTAAGTATAAATAAATTTAAATAAAATGAGAGTTGCATAGATATATTTATGTATGTATTTAATTAATTTTATTTATATTTTATTTACTTTATTTTTTCCTTTTTTTATTTTGAAGTTGTTTATTTTTGCCTTTTTATTTTCATTTTTTAATATTTCCCTTTTTAGTTTCTTTGATGATTAATATTGAAATTCAAGCCAGTAAGTTTGTTATACTAGGTTATACTTTAGCTTGGCATAATGAATGTACTCCTTAGTGTGATCACTGCAAGGGCTTTACTATTAATTAAAATGACAGGAGTTGGAGGAGGTCAGCAAGGAGAAAATGCTCATATAAGCACATGTGAGGGAAGAATGAAAGGTTGTGACTTGAGAAGTGCAGGCTTGGATGGAGCATGTAACTTTGTATCAAGTATCTTAAGTGAAATTCCTCAGAAAAGTATATGTATCTTGTAGGCTTGGGTATATTGCAGATAGACCAGGATTTATGATTTGACACTTTCATTTCCCAGGTTTTTGCTGCAGTGTCTGGAGGATTTGGATCAGAGTTTGAGGAAGCTGAATTCACGCCTGTTTGTCATCCGGGGCCAACCGGCTGACGTCCTTCCCAAGTACCTCAAGGTACATATTATAGATCTCTGTGTCTTGTAGAGCATTGGTTTAGGTGGGGGGTTTGACCTAAGCTTTTACCTCTGGACAGAAGCAGAGCAGTCCCTTGGGAATTGGACTGTTCTGTTGTCTGTCTAGAAACAAAGATGAAGAAACAATTAATGCAAAAATGTTGATTTAGGCCTTAAAGGGGCTTTGACATGATGGAATGATGGAATGAATGCTCAGTTTTCTGCCTTCTGGAACGGGGGACTGCTTCCTATTTGTGTATGCCTCACTGATTGAAGGATCCAACACAGGAGCCAAGGAAGTCTAGTACAAGGTGTCCCAAAATGCTGGTTGCATGTTGAAACTGAGTGTTCGAATGTTCTAAACATTTTTAAAGCAGCATGCTCAGATTTCATAATTGTTTGAATTGAAGGAACAAAACATAAATACCTTAATATTGTCACCTAGTGACAGTTGTGAGAGTAAGCTTTAGAGCAGTAAAATAAACCATCTACTGCTACAAGTGACACATTGGGACACCCTGTGTGTCCCATAATAAGTCACTCAATTGAGGCTGATCTCAGAGACACATGATACAAGCATAATACATTTATCATGCAACAGGCATTTAAAGGTCTTGGAATGTGTCAATTTTTCTTCTTTGGCCTCAAGGTTCACTGCAAACAGGTCCACATGGCATTAATATTGCATGCTGCAAATTGGGCTCCATCCAGGGTTTTGCCATCAAAATCCCTCACTTGATGACCAAGTCAGAGTTTTTAGAGGTGGAATCAACAATGTAGGCATCATTGTTATTGTAGGGGTTTTCACCATCTTATTAGGTCCAGGAGTCTGAATGGGTGGATTGTGTTCAGCACGTGCTGATATAGCAGGTCTGAGTGGGTCCATTCGAGCGGGAAAACCTCAAGAAACCTATCTCTGGTATGGGTTTAATCTTGTTGTTTTTAAGGTCTCCTCTCCATCCTTGACCCAAAAGACTGGAACCATAGAGATATCAGGTTTCTGCAGTAAATGTTTGAACTGTTCACCGTTAACCTAGAAACAATTTTAAAATCTATTTTACACAGGATGTTTAAACATTTCTGCATGCATTGACAATGATGTTTGCATATTATATCTTGTTCTCTTTCAATTCAAGTCTATGGTACTTTCAGCAAAAATGGCTGACTTGAGATAGTCCCACAGAAAGAAGTCGAGGAGTGAGGTCCAGCGATCTAGCTGGCCGTTTGACAGGACCTAGCCATCCAATCCACTTTGGGAATGACTCATTTACAATGTTTACATATTGTAAAACTGTGGAATCTCTATGGTTCCTGATTTGGGCCATTCTGTACTTGGCCAAGAGAGGTGTGGAAGGACAGGGTTCAATATTCATTACCTATCAGATATTTATAGCTTTTATAAATTATTTTGATATCTTTATGACTAAGTGGTTCCATACTGTCAATATCCCTTTGGGTTTTAGCTTTCCTGGTTTTTGTTCCCTTTTGGCTGATTTTCCATTCTGTTCCTTTTTAAATCAGCCTGACGTCGTAATGGAAATGAACACATGCCTTGCAGGAATGGGGTACCACATGCCTGACGATGGAGGAGGATCCAGAACCTTTTGGAAGAGTCAGGGATCACAACATCAATGTTCTATGCAGGGAGATGGGGATCCAAGTCAAGTCCAAAGTGTCCCACACCCTCTACAAACTGGAAAAGTATGAGTACCCTCTTTTTTTTTGCCTTTCCTGCCTATAAAATTTTTTTGGAAATCCATTTATATATCTGGAATCATACCCAGCTTTTGATTGAATCTAGAGATTTTGAATCACAGGAGTCATTTAATTTGCGTGACAGGATCATAGAGAAGAATGGAGGGGTTGCCCCCTTGACATATGGGCAGTTCCAAGCAGTGCTTTCCCACATGGATCCACCCCCTGCACCTGTGCCCACAATCACAACCCAGACCATTGGGAATGCTTATACCCCTATCTCAGATGATCATGATGAGCAATTTGCTGTCCCCACTCTCGAGGAACTTGGTATGTTGATCTGACTGGAAAGGGACTTTTCTAGAGTTGATTTTTTAAATTATGTATGCACCCATTATTATTGGTGCCTTCTTTTTTTTTGGTGTGGTTCTTTAAAGCACTTAAAAATGGCTGATTTTAATCAGTCTGAATCTGTTGCAAGACTCACTTCTGACTGACTAGTTATAGGTAAAGCTTTTAATTAATTTGACAACTCAGCCTCACTTTATGAGACCATTTGTGTGGTCTGAGATGTATATCAGGCTTGAGTTGTGAGTAGGGTTTTTTTTACTTTGTACCTAATGATCCATTGCAATGTAGAATGCCTGAGCTATTGTTGCTGTTGAATCTGGCCTGTCTTATTGTGTAATTAGGTTTTCCCCAAAGTTGTATGGTAGAGTTTAGAATCACCAAGTAGTATGACAATTATTGTTGACTATTGCAGGGTTCGACACAGAATCCTTGAAGCCAACCCTCTGGCCTGGTGGGGAGATGGAGGCACTGGCACGCCTGGAGCGGCACCTGGAACGGAAGGCCTGGGTGGCCTCCTTTGGTCGGCCTAAGATGACACCTCAGTCCCTCCTGGCATCTCAGACGGGGCTGAGTCCTTATCTCCGCTTTGGGTGCCTTTCGCCTCGACTCTTCCATCAGCAGCTCTCTGAGCTTTATCGTAAGGTAAGGGTGAGAAAGTTATGGAATGGGCAGGTTGGGGGTATGCAGAATGACTGGAAATTCCACAACATGATTGATAAATGAGAAATAAGCTTCTGGCTGGAAAAGTATGAGGGGAGGGAAGGTGTCTTTGTCCCTACATTCATAAATGTAGGTTGCAGCTCTTGTCTGCTTATATCTAAATTCTTCTGCATGTGTTAGTGAACTGGAGTGGATGACACGTTGGATTTGCTCTGAAAAAAACCATGGACAGTTTTTTTTGTTTGAGTCCTCAGAAGAAGGCATGTATGTGGTTGATGTTGCTAATTGTATGCATCAATTTGCATGAAATGTGATGTAGTTCATTTGGCGACGGATGTAATCCAAGGAATTTAATTGCAGTTTAAATAGAAACTTGGAATATTGTCTGCATGCTAACCTGGGAATCACTGAACAGGGCTGTGATTGAGTGTACCAAATCTGTAGTTAGAGAGTACACGATGCATGCTCTCTTGCTTTACCCAAAGATCAAAATATGCTGCTGTTGCTCGACAGATTCGGAGGTGCCCACCCCCCCTGTCACTGCACGGGCAGTTGTTGTGGAGGGAATTCTTCTATACTGCTGCGACCAACAATCCCAGTTTTGACAAGATGCAGGGGAATCCTATCTGCGTTCAGATCCCTTGGGACAAAAACCCTGAAGCCCTTGCCAAGTGGGCCAATGTGAGTCCTTGTGCATGATGTCACCTAGACATGAGCAAGCGAGATGCAGCCTATGATTGGTGACCACTCTTGCAGGGCCAGACGGGTTACCCATGGATCGATGCCATCATGGTCCAGCTGAGGGAAGAAGGCTGGATACACCATCTGGCACGACATGCAGTTGCCTGCTTCCTCACTCGAGGTGACCTCTGGATCTCATGGGAGGAAGGCATGAAGGTGAGAAGAGTTCCCTCCCCCTTATCCTAATTTACCTTTGATGTGTATGATTTCTTGTTTCATTTGGGATCTTTGTGGAGTTGTTTCTATTATTAGTATTATTACTCTGTGGGGAATATTGAATACATGGATGAATGAAGCCCCCACAGAGAGCACGCTTACTCATGGAAGCACATGCTTAAGAACTATTAGCAAAAGAATGTCAATCAAAATTTTTGCTTGCCTATGTGAAAATGAACGTCCTATTTGTTGGAAACACTGTCGTGAGCTTTGGTTGCTAATGGGAAGAATCCATCATGCTAGTGGCATTAGTATGAGTGTGATTGCATATGGACCATCCTAAGGAAACACTTTGTCTGTCATGCAGGTGTTTGAGGAGTTGCTTCTGGATGCAGACTGGGCAGTGAATGCAGGGAACTGGCTCTGGCTCTCTTGTTCATCATTCTTCCAGCAGTTCTTCCACTCTTACTGCCCCGTTCGCTTTGGACGCAAGGCTGATCCCAATGGCGATTATATCAGGTCTCATTCCTTCTTCCTTTTGCTTGAGCTATTTCCTATACATGGTTCCTACTGTATTATGAAGAAGAGCTAGGATTAGGCTCACACAACTCAACTTTTACTTTTTAATCTCATCTCTGTTTTCCAAGATAATTAAATGTCAAACAGCCTTGATGCCAAAGTTGACTTTGTATGTGAAACCAGTTCTTAAAATTGGTTAAATAATCTGCATTTCATTTTAGTGCTTGATCAGGTAGTTGAGTTCACAGTGAATGAGTTTTCTATGTTTGACCTGTTTTATTCTGCAGGAGATACTTGCCAGTCCTCAAGAACTTTCCAACGGCATACATTCACGAGCCATGGACGGCCCCAGAGGCCGTACAAAAGGCAGCCAAATGCAGGATTGGACAGGACTATCCCCTCCCCATGATCAACCATCTTGACGCATCCAGGATCAATATGGAACGGATGAAGCTGGTCTATCAGAAGCTGCACAACTACCGTGGGGGATCAGGTTTGTATCCACCAAAACTAGTTTAATATGGGGAATCTTGCAATTGGTTGCATTTATCATCAAGGTGCAATTGGCTCTCTGTTCAGGGTTTCAAGCTTCTTGAACCTGTAAATCTGTGCAGTTCTCAAACTCTACTGCTACACCTGATAAGCCTCTTCTTGCATTGGCTGATGAGCTTGGAGGAAAGAGGACATTTAAAAGGAGGAGAGTAAGGTTAAGTTATCAGAAACTGCTGTGGAGTTGGCATTCATCGTGCAATTTGACTTAGATGTGGAAGAAATTCCTCTTTGTCGTCTGCTCAGTCCCAGTACAAACTTGAATCCAGTTGAACTCAGCATTGGGGAAATATGCCACCATGCAAGTGGTGGTTGCCAATGCAAGCAGCAGAATGCATCCACCTCTGCTACAAGTGGATGGGTAGACATTGATTGCTGTCAGTTGGAACAAGATGGAACTTCTCAACTTGCTTAAAATGAGATTTTACTTTTATTTGCTGATTTTATGAAATTACTATCACTATCTCTGGTACTTGCAAAGAATTGCATGAAGGCTCAAGAGTTCCTTATACAGGAAGGTGACTTGTAAATAAACCTGATATTATTTGCACCAGTCTGCATTGTTCATGCTGGTGTTCAATTAACACTTTCAAACCACTTGTCACAATGGAACAACAACACTGATAGAAATGGAAATAATGGGAGCATTCACCCAATCATGAAGCAATACAGCTCTGGCAACTTTGACACATGACAGAGAAGTCTATGATAAACGGACTAAAACTTGTATTAGTTAGGAGTTTCACATGAGAGGGTTGCAGTGGGGAGTTCATGCAACCATATGCATCTGACCCTGCAGAAATGGAGACCCTATGAAAGCTTTTGGCATGTCTCAAGCCTGTTACAGTTGGCACAAATATCCCTGCTAAGGGATGCATACATACCTCTACTATCTGGTGCAACTAAGAGTGATATTAGCACCCAAAATATGAAAATCAGACCATCAGCAGGCTTTGAGTTGCCCTGTACTGGTCTCATTTAATCAATGGCCCCACCATTGCCAACTCATTCTATGCTGGTCACAAATGCAAGTGATAAAACACAAAGATCTGGGGGCCCTGTCAAGTTGGAGTGGAGGACTAACTCTTTTGAGTTGCAAAAGATTGAGAACCTTGAGGAGGTGCCAGTTGCATTGAAGTCATACTTGCAGCTAATTGCCCTGTATAGAACAAAATGAAGGGGCATCTTTTTCATGCTGTTCATTGATTGGCTTCTCTATTGAATTGCATGACATTTCAAACCAGTTGAGGTGCTCTTGACTGGGTTTAAAGTGCACCTGCTCATTCAACTCTTTGAAGTCCATGAAAAAGCAAACATTTTAAGAGCAGAAACCAATATCAGACTTGCTGAAAGAAAATCTCATAAGTCATTATGATGCCATAACAGTCCTAATCTAGCCCAGGAAGCATGTAGTCTGAAAAATAGAAGTAGTCTTATATGCAAGTATGAGGGAAACCAGGAATTTCTAATTGTTTATGGTTTGTTGTGATATTGCAGTGAGTCCATCATCATTCCACATTCCAATGAAGAGGGTGAAGTTGGAGTTAGAACCGTGGAATGGGCAGGCACTCACCACCTGAACTACAGCACATGAGTTCCAGATGGTTCATGTTCCTCAATGCAAGCACTCTGAAGCACGTGCACTCGCACCAGCTGGAGATCACACGAAGAGTCCCAAGCCTGATCGAGTTTCATTTGTGTCACATTGACATGTTGTGGACCTTCATTCGATGGCTTTCCACATCCCTCTATACAGTCCAAAATCAGGAAACTGTTTCAGTTTAGACCTGTCTCTTGAAGTGCATGAATCATCCAATCAGTGGTGGCTTGTGACATTTAGCGCTAGCAACTCATCTATGGAGAGGGGGTAGGCAGGGAAGGGTGCTGCCTACCCCCTCTCCATAGATGAGCCGCTAGCACTAGATATCATGAGCTGCCACTGCATTCAATAAATTGAAAGTGGAAGAAAATGTTAAAAATGGGCATCTCGGCCTTGAGAGACACCCTTTCAGACCTGAATTGAGGTGACTATGGGTATAATATCCCTTTTTTTTGCATTTTTGAGCTCTTTTGCTAATTTACTTTAACTTTTTATGTTCTACAAATTGTTTTTTTTTTTTTTTTATTACCATATCTTACCATATTAAAAAGTCTGCTCCTCTTGAACAGTTTGGTATATTAGTGTGGGGCAATAGATACTTAAGAAGGAACGACCGAAAAAGAGCTATAACTAGCATAACATTTCTTGACTCTTGGGTCAGTCCACATCAAATTGACCAGAGGATGAGCTCAACCATCTTCGATTTTGACAAATATCAGCATGCATGTAGAGGAACTGATAGCAAGAAAATAAATTCCAAGGATTTTTTTTTATGTCACTCTGATCTCGAAATATTCGCATTCGCATATATTCAATATTTTTTACTCCTTGCACCTATATGGACTGGAATAGAGACTATTTTTGCTGTAGCTTCTCTTCTATCTGAGATAAAACCTTTGTTATGGTGTCATTTCAGTTGTGAAACTGTCATCATTAGATTGTTCTAAGACATTATTCTCCAAAGCTTACACAAGAACTTCCACTTCGACAATTTGATTAAGTACAGTGGAAGATATCTACACCTGCCATGGTTGGAACTTGTGGTTTCAATACTTGATTCCATGTGTTTTTTATGCCCTTTTTTAACTACATCAAATTTGATATTAACTCGCAATTGCCTCATGAGATATGATCATTTGACGGAAGGAACGGCACAGATGGCTACGCCTAGAACCAAGAGAATGTGCGCTGTTGTGCTCTACATGCATACCGATTTTCGTCAAAATCGAAGATGGTTGAGCTCATCCTCTGTTCGATTTGGTGTGGAGTGACCCCAAGAGTCAAGAAATGTTATGCTAAATATGGCTCCTTTTTTGTTGCTCCTTCCAAAGTATCTTTTGCCCCACACTAATACCCCAAAACTGCTCAGTAGGAGCAGACAAATCGATTGATACCATATATGGCACCAAAAAGAAATGTAGGTGACTTTTGAATCACCCCATATGTTATAAAATGCAATGACACAACTGAAGATTAAAATACTGACAGGTGAGAGAAGGCCTCAGATAGAATTGAGCCATGCATAATAGCCCCCATTGCAGAGTAATATGGGGCGCAAAGTCACGAGGATCCCAAGGAAATACCATAAACACAATGAAAATGCATTGTCCATTGGAATGGATGCTTTGTCTGAAAGGTTTAAAGAGGTAAAAAAAAAAAAATTAGCCACACACAGCCTGATTGAAATGATAAACAAGATATGGTGCCATCTGTAAGGGAGGGTGGAGCACCATGGACCATATTTTTTTAGCTTTTTAGTTCTCAAGGATGCAGTTTTTCTACAAATTTCCTGAAATTTTGATGTTTTTATTGTTTGACATGTGCCTAAACACTTGCCTAAATTACAATTTTACAGCACTGTTTATTTCTAAGTGGCACATTTTAAAAGATTTGCGCTCAAATGGTCCACTGGGGCACGATGAACCATATTCTTTTGAACTCAGAAGGGCTAAAAAATTGCCGATAGCTCTTAGAAGTTCATTGCAAATTTGGTATCATGTACTAGCGATGGGGAAGACTTAGGTGATCTGGTCTTTATCATCGCCATTGCCTTGGAAGAGTTTGGTTTTCGATCGCAGATTTCATTTTTGCTGTCTTGCTCTCTTCGCTCTTTCTTTGTTTCAAGGATTTCTGGAGTGCTCGTGGCAACCATGGTTCTTCTTTTTGCGATCTTTACGTCCATAATTTCTTTGAGTAGTTCTGGCAGTGGCCTGAGAAATATTGGAGCCATATTTTTAGGGAAAGGCTCTCCAAGAGCACTTAAAGTAAAGGGAAAACAAAAATTAATTAACTCGCAGCTCTTGCTTCTCAATGTATATTTTGGCATCAACTTTTATATGGACCTACTTACGCATTATTCAAAAACTTTTATTCATTTCTTTTTGCAGTTGAAATTATTTTAACGAATCACCTGGTATTCTCCAAAGGATCATTCTTCTTTATTCTGGTTTAGACAGTTTTCAAACCATGGAACATCATAGATTCTTTTTAGAAGGTATCTAGAAATGAAAATTTTCTTGCTCTGCTGAGAAAAACTGACGATGTGAGAAGTTTCCTAGCTTGTTGAGGTCGCCTTCATCCACCCTTCACCATTCGTCTCAAAGTGGATGGAGCTATCCCAAGATCGTTTCCCACTCTTCTGTTTATCTAATCAAAACGCAGGTCTAATTGCTCAATCCACGAAAACAAAAGCACGAAATGATTCAAGACCTCCAGAGTAAACTTGCACTGGCATAAGGAAGCATGCATGTGAATTTCATGGCAACGTCTTCGATAATCGAGGTGCTGCAGGGGATGGTCCATGGTGCTCCACCTTCCCTTATAATAGAAATTCTGACGTACTGTCACGGAAAACATGAGGCACTTCTGGTCTATCGTCACCAGGTGGTAATCCAGGAAACCCTGCTACATGCTGTCATTCACGAAACACTTCCAAAACTAGAGTTTACGGGTGGCCTTTCTACAGTTTTGTTTAGCTATAGATCATATAAATTTTTTTACCAATTTCAAAAATATTTTTAGCACAAAGAAGTGTCGACCTTGCAATTTTATTTGGCCAATTTTCAGTGAGTTCTGCTGCATGGTTTTTAAGAAATTCATGTTTTACTGTAACTCGAAACTTTCGCATACGCGCGCTGATATTTCATCTACGAGGTTAATTACAAATTAGCAAGATGCAAATTCGGGACTTCGAATCGTCGTTCGACTCAAGTCCAAAATGCTCTCGAATGCGGTTGACGTCCTCTGAGCCCCTGTTGCTTGCCAGTCCGCATTTTCCACACTTAGTTTCCATTAAAACATTAATTTTTCGTCCATTCGTGCCGAACTGTAAGCTTTCCCAGTTCATTCCCCGAAAATTACATCTAAAAGCGAAAAAAATTTTTTTTTTTCAAAAATTGTGCTCAATAAACAGCACTAATGTCATGCACAACATGCGAGTCGCAAGGAAAAATCAAAATTTATATTTTAAAAATTTTTCGTCCGAATTCGACGAAAAAAATCAGCAGGCCCATGCAAAAGTTTTGAGTTGCAGTAAAAATTGAATTTTTCGGAAACCTCGCAGCAGAACTTAATAATAAAAAAATTGGCCGAACGAAATTCTAATGTCAGAACTAATTTCCGTTAAGATATTATTGAAATTAGTATTTAAAAAATCGCGGTGCTGCCACGATCGTTTCCCCGCCTTGCTTCAAAGCTTGCATGGGCTACTTTGACGCGGTCCCATGTCTCAAAGTGAGACGTTCTCGTACATATAATTTAGCATTAGCGTACCATCTAACTTAACGATTGCAAGAAAAAATCCGTTTCAGCCGAAGGCGAAGTGAGCAACTGCAGATTGGCATCTTAGAAGAGGAGGGACGATTCCAGATTTGAATTGCAACATTTCTGCATTGTTTAAAAAAAAAAATATCGGTGACTTCTTGACGCGTTGCCGGTCACTGACAGCACGTTTCAGCTCCTTTTCTTCTAAATGCTAGTAATATTAAAAAGTTGATATTTCATTTTACAGCTCCCATTCTTCGAAACTTTGAGGAAGACATTAATTCATAATAATTTCGGACCTCTCAACAATAAATTTAAAAAAAAAGAAAGTACACCCAGCCTCTCTCCTGTGTCTCCCATTTTTTTTCGCATGCGATTCATCGATGGCCAAAAAAAAATTGTATAAAAAATGTATTTGCTACCGGGCGCAAATTTCATCGCCATGCAACAAAAGGTAAACGCACGTGGAAACTGCCGAGTTTTCTTGATGTCCAGATAGGGAGACGAAACTCGGACTGCCAAGTGCAAAAAAGGGCAATGTTTTAATGCTGGTACGTTTGTAAGGTAGTTTTCCCAGGTGATATGAGTTCAGTTACTGAATAATTTACTGTACCGTATTGACTAGTGTTTCTGAGATTTTCATTCAACTCTTCATTGTCTTGGATTTTTTTTTTAAATATTAATTAAGATTTCCTCGCATTCAAGATCTCACTGCAATCTCTAAGGCAACTTATTATTATTATCAAGTTGCAAATCACGCTCATCTTGAAATCAGTTGTGAAAAAATTTTGTTTTGCCAACTTCTTCGCTGCAGGAAACCTGAAAGGAATAATTAGAGTTGAGTGTCAGGGACGGTGAAAAGCTAATATAAAACAACATGAACAATTCCCAATAATTTTGCATGCTTACATCCAGTGGCGCATTTTGGCACAAGAGTGGGAGGGGGGCTTGTGACCAAAACTGAGCAATCTTCCCAGCTTAATTTTGGTGCAGAGAGCCGTTGCGAAACGTACAATTAAAGTGTAACGAGTCCGACGGACTCCCCGTTTGCGTCAGGAAAGTGTTGACAAGATTGTTGCATGTGCAAAAAAATTACCCAAAAATTCGGACTTGGTTACATGTAGTCTCGCATCGACTAAACGACACCTATGAAAAGAAACATGTTTCCCTCGTAAATATGAATCGAAACGAGGCATAAAATGTAAGGGTCCATCACATTGAAAGTTGAGATAAAAACATCGTTGCCGTGGAGAAATGAAATTAAGAAAAAATAACTTGGCTCTTGACATTTCTGTTTCTTGCTCCTTTCGTCCGTGGGATCTAGTACGATGTTCTCTCTGCTAGATTCGGGTCATCAACGTTATGGACGGCATCGATAATTGTAGAGAACTGGATAAGGATGACCTTGCGACCATGAGGCGAGTGGAGTTGTGTATGAATGCGAATGCTTGCAGAATGTTGAGAGATAAGATTAGTTTAAATCTATCTCTGGATTTGAAAGAACAGGATGAGGAAAGTGTGGCACATCCATCGCAGCGCCGCGCTACCTTTCGACTGGCAATAACGAGAGGACGCGGACGCACCGGAGGAGTCCATGTCTTCCATGTGGGAGAGGAAGTCCTCGGGGGTGTGCGGGAGGGAATAGGTGGAGTTGCCGAGTCCCAGCCCCGAGTCTGCTGTCTCCTGGCGGCTGTGGAGGTCCGTGTTGCTCTGCGAGAGGAACGGGTCCTGCGCCATCTCCGTCAGCTCAGTCCCCTCCCTCTCATCGGCATGACTCGAGATGCCCTTGTCACGCACGTCACGCGAGGCGTGAAGTCACGTCCACAGCGGGTCGATCGCAGTCGCCAAAGACGAAGACACGCAGGCAACCAGATCCCGAACCGAACACGTGATCGGCACGTGCAAAAAAAATTGTTTGCGACATTTCCTTGTAGAAAACGCTTTCCGAGAAATCGTGATTTCTCGCAAATTCCACACCTATTTGGCAACTACACCCCATAGGAACGGCAGGTACCTTTGAAGGAGCCCCCTGCAGATAATTCTCAAAAACGTGGTCGTTCATCTTCGTCAAGGGTTTCCTTGGAAAACAGTACAAAATATATTTCCTAAAAGTTTGGACCGGCACCGAAATACCTTCCTTTTCTTACTTCCGTGATATCATAAAAAATGTCCGTTTGTGGTCTAGAACCTGATACAGTATTATCCATGCTAAGGTCAGCGATGTTTAAGGCAGTTCTGTGGAAACTGCATGGAGTAGGATGATTCTGGTATGACACCTCGGGCGCGAAAGCTTCTCTTACCCGTATTCGCTGACCAATTGAACCACCACTCGGTGCATTCATGGTTGCCGATGAGGGAAAATGGATCAAATTGCATATATTCCACTCAACCTTCGTGCAGGCAAGTTCAGTCATTTCATCCTACCTCAAAATGCTTCATCTGGTCTAGGGATCTTTTGTATGAAATACGGTGAAATTTTCCTAGTGTTTTTGTCCATTTTAGCTACACACACTGAAACAAAGTGGACCACATATGTTCAGACTCGGTGCATGCATAAACTGACATTAGCTTTTCTGGCGATGCGATCTCGAAGCAGGTGGACTCCTGTGTGAAAGTGAACGAGAAGTTGAAAGATAAGATCAGTTTTAATCTATCACTGGATTTGAAAGAACAGGAGGAGAAAAGAGGACGAGGAAAGTGTGGCACTTTGGAGAACATATCATACTGTACATAACGAGACGCGGGACGGGGTGCCCCGGTCTCTCACGCACGCTGCACGTGGTGCCATCATCATATTCGCAACGAAAAAAAAAATTGTCTCATTGAAAACAGCTTCCATAGTCATGTGCAAGAATAAAAATTCAATTCCAACAGATGGATCGCTAACTGTCCGTTATACAACATTTCGTGCAAGGGGGGATTCTGGTCTGCCATCCGTGGGTTTTCTATCGCGGGAATAGAAGACGGAGGCGGAGCGGATCGGGGCGGGACGGTTCGGTCGACACGAATTGGAGAATCGGTCGACACCAATGTCGAGCGAGACCGACACGCGAACGTCCCGGATACCAGCTGCCGAGACGCACGACGACGCGGATCGACCGGCGTAGCTGCAACGTGAGGCTGCAAAGGAGTCGGCTCGGGAAGCTGTACAAGTTGTACTGGCAGAGAGGATCTCGGGGGTCGCATACAATGTACAAGCACACAAGGATGGGGAACACGATCGTGGAGGGAATCGTAAAAGGCACTACAAGCTTTTGATTGTCGACGACACGGCCGGCGGCACAGACGAGCACCACAAAGTTGTCACAACCGATGAGCTCTCTCTCTGCACGGAAATGAGGAAGAACCAAAAAAAAAAAAGAGAATGCCCTTGGAATTGAGCGTCAGGATTTTTGGGACTTGCACCACGAGTTGCGTCCACGCGACCGCACGCACGCCACGGGCTGCGTCCACGCGACCCCGCATCGCGTCCACGCACGACCGGAACGTCGCGACTCGCGTCCCAGACACACGCACACACACGCCCGTCCCCTCGACGGCCTCTTCAAACCCAAGTGAGAACATTGTCCATCTTGTTGTTGGCCAAGAGATCGTTGAAGATCTCGGTCGGGATCTCCTCGTTCTCCGTCAGCTGCCGCAGACACAAGAAACCCAGGAATCAATTCCACTGCCTCCCACAAAACGAGCTGGAATCTTTTACCACTAAAAAAAAAGTGCCTCTCAAGTAATTCCCCATTTTCAACCACGAAATCCGTCTACCCCATGTGCAATAAGAATATAGTTTACGAACGGTATGACCCCCACGAAAACCGAAGCTTCTCTCGTGTGCAGCTCGCCACACGGATTTCTTTCAACTTCGATCATTTTTTTTAAACAGCAAACACGAATCGCTTCAGTGCCAAAGGTTTTTTTTTTTTTTTAAAGTTGAGCTATCATCCCCATTATCATCAACTTCTGCCGGTACTAAAATAGAAAACAGCACCTATTCCAAGTTGCTGTCACCACCATGTCTGAACGAGCACATCAGATTTCCATACCTCAACACAACTCAGGTTTTCTCTTTCAGGGAATTTCTGAGCGCTTATGGCAAAGTGTCCATCTCGCTTATCTTCCGCTTTCCAAAACCAACTTGAGGCTAATAAAGGCCAAATATAAATAGGGAGGTACTTCACAGAGTCCACGTATACAGGGTGTCCCAAAAGGTAAGGAAACATTTTAAAAATTAACATCTCTCTATGAATTATGCCTCAAATAAAAAATAATAATAATAAAACAGTAAAAGAAAGTGCTACTCAAACATTTGATGGATTAACACTGATCGACGGTCAACCTTTCTCCAGTATGGAAAAATTGGCCAATCCAAATCAACAGATCAGGGAATTTTTTTGTGGTGCTAAAATGTGGAGGTGCAACACCTTCGAAAATTAGACTTTCACTGTGCCGCCTCTCTAGGACCTTTTTCTTGTGGGCCACGTCAAGGACACTGCTCCCTCGAGGAAAGTTGGCAGTCCCCAAGATCTTAAGAACCGAATCGTCGCAGCCATCCAAAGCGTACACAGAATCACAAATGGTGCCCGTGTGGAATTGCAATAACGGGTTTTAAAAAATTCTTAATTGCACTTTCTTTTACCGTCACTTACTTTCAGGCATAATTTAGAGATATATTAATTTTTAAAATTTGGAATGCCCAGTATTGACTAACTTTCATTTGTAAATCAAGTTGTACGTTTTGGTGTATAAATAGTGCTTTGGGTGCCTCACGGTGAGTCTTTCATCCCTTTCCTTTCAAAAACAATGACAGACTTTGTTTCTCATAATTCCTTAACATTGAAGATGATACTGAGCAAAACTGAAAATCCCCCCAAAATTGCCACCTAATTTAAATATGCTATTAATATATTATTATATATTCTTCATTGCACTACCAACTAATAAAGCACATCCTGGACCTTTTCTATAATCATACCAGCAGATTCACCAGTACATCGTCATGAAATATCACCTTTTAACTTAATGCAGTCTAGTAAACTAATACTTAATAATAATAAATAATAATAAAAACAAGCACGACCATACCTGGATGCTTGGTATGATGTCATCCATGTTGCTGTCGGTGGGATCCGTTCCTCCCATGCTGATGTCTCCACCGCCCAGTTCCATGGAATTACTCGGCCCTGCAAACAAACAATCCGGTTCACAGCCTCTACCCAGTCTCAACACAGGTCCATGTACGGTGCTCCAGAATTTCCCCCTTTCACGTGTTTGCCAGCACGCATTACAAGTAACATTACATCCCGGAGAACATAGATGTCTCTTGCATCTCAGTGGGCAGCTGGCACCTCTAAAACCGTTAGTGCTTATAAGGTACGCTAGACGTCACCGAGTTCGAACCGAACGCAGCGCCATGCTGCCTTTCGACTGGAAATAACGAGAGGACGCACCGGAGGAGGAGTCCATGTCTTCCATGTGCGAGAGGAAGTCCTCGGGGGTGTGCGGGAGGGAATAGGTGGAGTTGCCGAGTCCCAGCCCCGAGTCTGCCGACTCCTGGCGGCTGTGGAGGTCCGTGTTGCTCTGCGAGAGGAACGGGTCCTGCGCCATCTCCGTCAGCTCGGTCCCCTCCCCGCCGAGTCTCCGGATCAGCAGGTCCTGCGGGCAGAAATCACGCACGTCACGCGAGGCGTTAAGTCACGTCTCCTCCGAGACGGAAGAGGACGACGGCAGTCGCGAAGGACGAGGACGCGCACGCAACTCGGCCAACACGTGATCGCCACGTGCAAAAAAAAAAAATCCCACAAGGTCCCGTCCTCGGATGACCGTGACAGAAAATGACGACGTTTTTGCTAATTGCACACCAATTTGTCAAATTGCTTTCGGAAAACGGTCGAATCAGCATCGAAATGTCATTCGCTCAGTCAAGCAGTAATTAAACAGGAGTAAGGGTAGTAATAAAGCAGTGATTTGCAATTTTCACTTTCCGACGTTTAGTCACTCAACAGCGATTCCAGTTCAAATTCACTAAATCTAAAGGAAAAAAAAAATTCCCTCCTTCACTGACTCATTGTTTTTTCCATGCCCCTCTTTTTTTTTATTACTCACTATAGCGTCATCCTTCAGTCGGTAACAACGGAAAAAGTAAACAACCTTTAGAAAAAATAAACATCAACAAAAAGCAGGAAAGACGGACCTGGTTGATGGACATTCCGTCCTGCCGGATCCGCGCTTGCTCTCGCTCCATCTGAGGGAGAAAAACCAAATATAAAATTTTCAAATTTAAAAAAAAAAATAATAATAATAATAATAATAATAATAATAAATTTATAAAGTAAAGGCCATTTTATTTTATTAAGTCGAAAGGAATAAGGAAATAATTAGGACACGAAAAAAGATTATGAAATAAAAGCCCGAGTATTTTGTCGTGTCATTTGTTTTGAGTTATATAATTTCCAGGTAATTTTTTTTTCATTTTTCAATTTATTTCACGCATTTCTTCCCACGTCTCATTCCCCCTCGCTCCGACCCGCTGGCTCGGATCTCCAGAAGGAGGCCGAACGCGAAGGCAGGAACGGAGATAACGATGGGAAGGGGGAGGCGGAATGTGGACGGTGAGAAGCGGAGTGTGGACGGTGGGAGAGGGAGAGAGGCAGCGAGTGTGGAAGGTGGTCGGCGGTCACGCGGCGTCGACCACGGCCGGCCTTGCAAGGACACCCCTACTTTCTCCCCTTTCCCTCCTCCGCTGGAGCTGCGAGGGGGAGGTGGATGACGGTGGAGGCGCGCGGATGTGGATGGCGAGGGGGATCGGAGGACGAAGGGAGTTGGAGGCAGGCGAGGGGGATCGGAGGACGAAGGGGGTTGGAGGCAGGCGAGGGGGATCGGAGGACGAAGGGGGTGGACGGCGAAGCGGGCTGGATGACGAAAGCGGATGGCGAAAGCGAGACGGACGACGAAGGCGGCTCAAGGAGGCTCGGAGCACCCCCGACGATCGACCGAGGATCGGTCGCTCCCTCGCGTGGGTGAAGGGACCCCCGAGAGGCACAAGCCGTTGCCACTTTCCAGCATCATTTCGCTCCGCATGGGAGATCGCACGAGACCGTGCCTCCAGCTGCTTCGCTCTCCGCGTCTCTCCTCGCGAGGAGGCGAAAAGGTGGGAGGTGGCGAAAAGGTGGGAGGTGGATCCCTCCCGACGATCCACCAGGCACCACCTCACCTAAATATTTAGGTCACCTGCCAATTACACAACCACGCAAGCAGGAACGCGAGAAGCACCGGTCCTCCCACTGCCCCTCCACCGGCCCACCTCCACCACACCACCTCCCAATCGGGTCGAGGCACCTCCCAATCGGGCGTGCCCGATAACCTCCCCAGAGGAGCTGGAAACGGTCGGGGACGGAAGAACCCCGAATGTCAGTTTCGATGACGAACGAGTGACAGTCCACTGACAGTCCACAGGCAGTCCACGCCGACATGCATCCTCGCGTTCCCTCGTGAGAAGAATATTAAACACCCAACGAGGAACTTCCGGTCTCGATGCAGCCAACGGCAGTTGCCGCGTTCCCAAATATTAATATTTATCTCAAATATTGGTATTGGTATTCAAATCGGAACTCGCCGACAAATAATCACGCTCAAAAATTACTTTTCCATACCACATACCACATTCACATCAGAACGGTATCATAGATATAATATTCCCAGAGGTACAAAATAAAAGAAACTAAATGATTTCTATTGAAAATTTTCTTCTTTTAAAATGAAATTAATATAAATACTTCCTCGCGATCAAAATTTAAATTCAAATTAAATTTCAAAAAGTTGAAAGGTTCAATTTCTTTTCTTTCTCTGAAAGTACTCAAAAAACGTTGAAAGTACTTAAGTACTTAAGAGTCCGGATCGAGAAAAATAAAAACCTAAAGGTAATTTATAATTTTAAAAATCGTAATTAGTCAGGGGGACACATTTAATTGTCCCACCTGACACCAATTAATGCCTCGGGCGTGAATCCTCTTCCTCCCCGGATCGGCTTAAAGCAGCGGCTTAACGCTTAAAGTGGCTTAACATGCAGGAAAGCAAGACGCCTGGCCTTCCCCGTTCTCATTTTACGACCATTTTTTTTTTATCTCCGGCCATAACGAGAGAGAGCGAGAGAGAGAGAGAGCGAGCGAGATACGGTTCTCTGCCTCTTCCTGGCAATATTGCCCCCGTTTCCGGTTCCGGTGCTTCCCCGCAACAGGTACTTCCCTCCTCCTCCCGTGCCTTTTCCCACGTATCCCCTGTTTTTCTCCCCCGTCCAGCCCGATAAGCGCCCACGCACACGCACCACGTGGATCCTTCCCGTGTGGATCCTTTTCATCGTCCCCGATAAGACTCACGGGGCGACCGAACGAGGATCGGTAAACACCACCTTGGCCTTTAATCCTCCTTAACCCACCCTCCACTCATTCAGCCATCCACCTCCACCCTCCCCTCTTCCATTCGTCCACCCAACCTCCACCCTCCCCTCTCTAATCATCCACCCAACCTCCACCCTCCCCCCCCCTCAATCCCTTAGTCATCCACCCAACCTCTATCCTCCATCCTCCTCTTCCCCCCCCCCTAAAGAAGCTTATCTTCCTGGCCTTCGACACGACTCGACCAGTCGCACTGCATTTCCGGAAACACTCACCTTCGCCCCATTTCCCCCGATAGCACTTTTTCTCTCCTCCCCCTCCCCCCCGCGATAGGCCTCTTTCCTCCTTCACCTCCCGCATCGAGCACCTCCCGCATCGAGCACCTCCCCTACGTGGATCCTCGGAAAGCCGTCTCGACAAGATGACTGGGCGAGTCCTCGATTCCGACAAATTCGGCTTTCATCCGGCCGAATGCTTCTTCTCGGAAGACGACTCTGACTCGCCCCACCCTCATTCACCAGGTGGAATCGCGAAAACCAATTTAAACCCCCAACATATTTATAATATAAAAAAAATTTTCTTACAACAAAAATTTTTCCGACCTAAAAAAAATTTTCGCGACGCAAAAATTAATATAAAAAAAAATATATATATATATATATATATTTA